GAATTCCAATCAGTCTGTGAATATAATCATTTATTTGTCTTTACAGTGATGATGGAAGAATGTACAGGTGTCCCCTTTCAATAAAGTATAAAAATATGTTTATATACAGTGAAGTCACAATAATCTTTAACTGGGAAATTTATTTAGAATTCCTGATCTGTTCTTATTAAAACTGTGGGGGAAACAAATATCTTATGTAAGTGCTACATTTCCAGTAGATTGCACCTGGCATCAAAAGCTCAGCTTCATCTTAGGGTCCTGCTTGATATTACAAAAGACTAATTTTAAGTCCTAGGACTCAAAATAAACATGATTTTTTGAATAATAGATATATACATCAAAAATACATCTAAAAAGGCATTGGTTAGTGCTATTAAAAAGCTCTATGTGCTCGGGTACATTTTTTCTTACAGGCAAAAGCCAGTGGAAACATTTTTGTTCAATTTCTAGGAATTTTCTCTTGGGGAAAGTCGGTCGAAAGTTACCTGTAAAAAAAAAAAAGAACAAACTTAAGTAATCCCGTGATTTATCAGGTGAGAGGTCAGCAATACTCAAAAAAGAATTAGAGACAGAATTCCACTTAGAACCATGTTTTTACAGCCTTGATGAACATTTAGTTACAGCACTTCATAAATAAAAAGTGCTCAACATATCCCCTCATTGTTTCATTTTATTTTGATGATAACCTTTATTATCCTGTTAATTTTCCAAAGAAATCATATGTATTCTTCTATATGTTTATGCAAATATTTTCTAACTACAATTATCTACATCAGAATAAAAAGAGAATTCAAAGGGCATACGAATGAAAGAGCAGAATAGATACAGAACAATCCAAATATATTTTGAGAAAATGTAGAAAAATTTCTACTCAAGATACTTTATTTTACTTCACAATTTCTTTCACATGAGAGCATTTACAGATGACAGGCATGTGCCGAGTCTTCCTATTGTTTAACCTGGATGAAATGGCACTGTGCAACTGCAAATTGAACTATTTATGTATTTGATACCCTATCTCACGTATAGCTAAATATATTCACACCTTTGTTTTTATAGTCATCTTCTTACAATCACTTCTAAAATGTTTGTCTAATATCCTGGCATTTCTCTATGATTGTAAAATTTAAGTAACACAGTAAATTGCAACCTGCTATTTAACTAACCAAATAAATAAGTGAGTAAACATCCACCTTACTAATAAGGAGGATTAGAAAGAGGTGAGGCATGATGAGGCCGGCCGACCTGAAGGGACCTTGGTTATTGCTTATGAGCCCGTGAAGATGGCCATGTCCCACCCTTTACTCAACTAAGTCCTACCTTACCACAGGTTACCATGGACAGCTGATTAAGTCATGTGGTTGTCCTTTAGTTTCTTAAAACTTTTAGGTATATATGGTGTTATTTGAGTAAGGTAAATGTAATTTTCATAATTAAGAAGTACATCTAAATCCTCTCCAATCTACAAGTCTAATGGCTTAGTCTAATAATGCCATCCTCAAGTTTAGAAGATTGCATACATAATTTGAATCTCTCCCTACCTAACATTCCAAAATAATGGCTACTTTTAAAGACCTGATTAAAATTCTAATCATTCAATATTAGTTTGTTATTACTATTATCCACATTTGTGCAAGGCAATGAGCAGTTGCCAACTTCTATATAAGTATAGTGCCAGTGCCTACAACACAGACTTGCTCAGGAATAGACTTGATGCCAACCTGCAAAGTAATCCATAAAGGAAGAAAAAGTTGGCTGGTGGTTCACGCTGTAATCCCAGCACTTTGGGAGGCTGAGACGCGCAGATCACCTGAGGTCAGGAGTTCAAGACCAGCCTGCACAACATGGCAAAAACCGTCTCTAGTAAAAATGCAAAAAATTAGCCTGGTGTGGTGTCAGGCACCTGTAATTCTAGCTACTCGGGAGGCTGAGGCAGGAGAATTGCTTGAACCCGGGAGGCAGAGGTTGCAGTAAGCT